AATCATGTCCCTGAGCACCACATCCAAACGGTTTTTAAACACAGCCAGAGATGGCGTCTCAACCACCTCCCTGGGGAGCTTGTTCCAGTGCTTAACAACCCTTTCTGTAAAGAACTGTTTCCTGATAGCCAACCTAAACTTACCTTGGCACAACTTAAGGCCATTTCCTCTTGTCCTGTCGCCTGTCACCAGTGAGAAAAGACCCTGCTCTTGCTGTAAACACCTTTCAGATATTAGAAGAGAGCAATAAGGTCTCCCCTCAGTCTCCTTTCCCCAGACTAAACAGCCCCAGTTCCTTTAGTTGCTCCTTGTAGGGCATATTCTCCAAGCCCTTCACAAGCCTTGTTGCCCTTCTTTGGACCTGCTCAGGCACCTCATTGTCCTTTCTGTAGAGGTGCCCAAAACTGAATACAGTACTTGAGGTGAGGCCTCAGCAATGCCAAGTACAGGGGCAGGATAACTTTCCTAGTCAGATCCATAGAACCTGATTCTGGTATTACCTCCCTCCCAATTTTTTTTTCCCCATCATCTCCACAGCAGTTCTCAACTGAATGAAATACATCTATCACAAGAAGTCATCCTTTCTGCCTCCAGCTACAAGCTCCCACTACATGTCTTGGAGGAGAGCAAATGATCAAGTATATCAGCAATCAGATGAGCTCATCCATCTGACTGAAATATTAACTTAGGGAAAAGTACAATAAAGCATATTTTTTTCAAATTTGGATCATCTAACAGCATGGCTCAACAACTGCTCTTGCTGGCACAAGTGAAACAGAAGAGACCACTGAAGAAGAACAGGTTGATCATTTCTTGATTTAAGCCACTTGGGAAACTAGCCTCTGCTCTGACCAAATGGATAGGTCTTTTCTACAAAGATTTTTCTCCCTAAAATTTTGTCTCTCTCAGTGAGACAGTCTTCCCTGTGGCATGTTCAGAGGGCCACGTGGACTTTCACTGAGTTTCTTCAGAAATAAAAGTACAGTTGTTTTTTCTAATTCCTGGTTCCAGATTCTAATAAGCTGTAGTCTTGCTGAGGAATTCTATTTTGGTTACTATTTTCTCTACTATAGTCACTACAAAATACAATTATACTTAAGAAAAAATGAAATGATGAACACTTTTAATATAACTGAGAAGAACCGCAATGAATTTAAAACAAAATTATAAAAATGATTTTTTTAAATGTAAATTGGATGTATTTGCATTAATCCTCTGTTATGTGGAAACAGTAAACAGAAATGATGACTGATACAATTAAATAAAATGTATCTTACATGATGCAGATAAATATTGAAATCCAGACTCCTGTTGGGCTTTCAATTGAAAGGCCAAGAGCGCTTTCAGATTGCAGAATTCAGACACCAATTTTAAACAAATCTTTTAGTAGCATATTAAATAAATCACGAAATTATAATAACTCTGTTGGAGGCGATTCTCTTTCAAAGTCTTAACACAAACCTGTGTATCTGAATGCCAGAAAACTGGATAAGGTTAAAGCCTTTGAAGCACATCAGTATGTGAATATAAAATATGCTACCCAGGGCTCATGCTTTGGTTGCACTGCCACTGTTAGTACATTAAGCAGATGCACTCAGACACATAAGACATGCACTAAAGATCAGTGAGAACAATCATAGAAAAAAACTTACAAAAAATAATACACTTAGCTGTACTCACTACTAAAACAGACAAGTGGGGAACATAAACATAGAAATATCTAGGAAGCAACTTTTTTTTTTTTTTTTTTTTTTTTTTTTTTTTTTTTTTAAGGCTACATTTCAGGAGATGCTGGAAGTTTTTGCAGTATAAAATAGTTTCTCCAGACTTGTTTCTCCCCTGTATACTTTTCTGGCAATTTCTCCTCTATGTCCTTTTCTTTCGATGAGAAAATATTTTACTGACGAGGCTCTGGTTCCAATCCTTGATACTCAATCATTTGAGCTACTGAACACCCATTACTGAAATTAATGTAAATTAAGCATGCATTAGTGGCATCAATTCAGGATAACATCAGTCTCTATGACAGTACATAAGCACATGCGTTTCTGAATTCTAGCTGTATTACAATATTGATTAGGAATAGGTTTAAGAACGTCCTTAAAACAGTAGTGGTCAGAATAATATGACCCAAATATTGTAACCCCAGTTATCAGTAAATGAAATTTTATTCAAGTAGGTTTGGAAAATGGTCACAGCATCCAAGCCCAAGTAACCACAGTCTCTGTTTCTTGCTTTTTTTTTTTTTTTTTTTTTTTTTTAATCACTTTGATTTCTTGGAATTAAGTGTTTACATGCAGACTACAAAGAAAACACATAGGACTAAATCAGCACATTTATTACATGCCAAGTTACAGTTCACTGCATTCCCATTTCAATTTGCACTCACAATACTATGGGAAACTGAAATGATATCATCAGAAACAAATGAAATACAAAGAAAAGTTTATCAACAGACAGAAGCAAGTGTATCCCTAAACTAAACAGCCATAACATTCAATAGCTTTAATACTCTATTACATTGTTTCATAGAAATTAGTGATGAAAGACTTCTTATCCATCCCTTGCCAATTCAGGATGTTTTCTGTTTTCCAGTTAAATCATTGGAGGCTGATTGGCAACTGACAACCAGATGAATAGAAAGAACTAACTGGATGTGCTGTGAAATTTGTATTTCCCTTGTAAAGTGCCAAGCTCTTTCAAATTCCCTTTGTTTAAAGGTGAATTAATGAAAGTCAGGAGCTCAAAAAAATTGGATCCTGTATTGTGTAGCAAGTAGATTGACTTTCAAGTACACATTCAACATACTGCTACTGAAGCCACCTTCATCTTTACTACAGAGGAACGTGTTTAGTGTGCTGACAAAAAGCATCACACTGCACTATTATATGCACTGGCATATTTCCACTGTACTGAACATTTTCTGCGAATGAGACAACAAAGAAACAATAAGTTATTGCATCAGCATTGTTAGTGTTTCTGCACTTCTACCCTCAGTCTAACAGTCAGAAGTTGCTGCTCAGAAAGGTCATACAACAAATGACATCTGCCAAACTCAACAGCAGACATTCAGACTCTCTCAACCACCTTCGTATTTTGTCGTATTTTGTTGAAATAAAGCTTGCATTAAAATGGGATCTTCTCAGTAACACTTGCTTCCAGAATCACTGCAGATAATCTTGCATTCTATATTAAACTTTGGAACTAAACACTGCAGCTACATTTCACATTTGTCATATCTCTTTATGTTTGTGTCAACTAGTATATGATAATACTCTAGTTCTTCTTCAAAAAAAATCAGGAGGGAGCACATTTAACAGAAATAATTTGTGTGTGTGAGTGTATGTGGGGAGGGTGTACTTCTACGTTTCATTTTCTATAATTAACCATTAATCATACATTTATCTCCAGTACCAAACATCTTCATCTACAGCCAAATTCTAATCCCATTAATCCTCTTTAAAGATCTGTAAGGCCTTCTGTGTAATTCTGACTTTTAGTTAATGCATATCTTAATTTTACAGGGATATTTGCAAGCTCACTTGAGACTGGTTTCTTTCTGAGAAAGGAGGAAAGATCACATTTTTCCACAAAAATAGAAATGAGATACTAAATGCTGCAAGCCAGCAATAGTCAACACAGAGAAGTAAATCCAGAAAGACTACTGCTACCAAAATATTCCTATCGAAGCAAACAGAAACTCTCATCACAGACTGGAGAAACAATTCTATGTTTTTGAGGGGATATATCCCATCATGGAGGAAGATCTGCAATGCATAAGAATTATTACATCGTCCCTGTAAAAGGGCTTTTCCTTTAGAAATATACTTTTTTTTTTTTTTTTTTTTCCCCTGATGGAATTGTATATATCAAGGAGGTAATTATACAGCAATCCAGAACACAGTATCAGTAAATCTGACTTGACTTGGCTCAGTGAGTAACATAAGCAGTAACGAGCAGAAGATACAGAACTGTACTGTATGCAAAGCATACCAGGTCACACATTCTACCCTTAGGGATGGAGATTTAGCACACTGATTTTTAACACAAACACTATAGCACTGTCAAAGAATTCTTCCTAATTCTGATGATACAAAGTCTGTTGAGCATAATTCCTTCTCTGCCCCTGAGTATGAATTAGACAAGGAGAGGGAAATGGAGAGGATGTGAAAAGATTATCAGAATGACCATAATCAATTATCCAACATTTGGCTTCCATGAAATTAGAGCAATGGCAAATAGGTAGGAATTTTTAAAGTTGTAGCCCTCTTGGAGAACTTTGAGAAACACACCACATTGATATAACAGCAGATGGAGCATAGACATAAATGTAATCAAAGGCTGAAAACCAAAAGCCTACATCAGTAGTCAGGATAAGACAAGCTCAGAATTATCTCTGTGGGCTTTTTGGTGATAAAACCATTTGTTGCTCTCATCTCTGCACTTTGTGTAAATATGAATGAGATTAACTATGATATCATTCTTTTTAACATACTGCAGAGAGTAGATGGCTAGTTGAGAAATAGAAGTGCTTTAACTTTTATCAGCTATTTAAAAATCAAGAATTAATAAAAATTATCATCTTATAGATGAAGCGGATGAGAATAACTAATCCCATTTTATTAAGGCTTTCTTTGCTAATCTGTAAGAGATGCTACAAAATTCATCACTATTGTCATTTAGAATTAAAATTTAAAGATTATGTAGAACTGTCCGGTTCAACGACTTAGTCTCTCATCTGTGTATTTTGTTAGACCCAGACAAAAACAGTTGTGTATGCAGATAAGTTAAATTTTAAGAGTTAATTTTTCACTTTTCTTGTCAAAATACTGATATCATTTCTATTGTTGATCACACGAGGGAGATTATATCAACATCTTGTTTCGAATTTTAAAAATATCTAATTTTAGTAATTTTGGATCAGATCTAAACTTTGACCATTCTCTGAAAAACATTAATGTCTGTTCAGTTTTTTTCTGAGTTTGTCTAGCCAGTAAAATTTATAAATAAAGATACCCAATCCAATAAACGAGATTAAACAGTGCAAAGGCAGTTGGAAAGAAGATTCGAGAATAGGAGTCAATTTTTGCAATACGAATGTGTATTCTTCCTTCTCTCCAAGATCCTGTGCGGCAGTCTTCAAAACAACAAAAGAAGCTAGCACAGTCTTTCCCTTCTAGGCACTCATATCCATAATCATCATCACGTTCAGGGAGATGATTAATGTTATTAATTGAAATTAATGTTGATCCAGGTCGAACAGCAATTGCAGATGGTTTCTTAAGAAAAAAAAAAAAAAAAAGAAAAACGTGTTTTTGTTTTACCCTCAAATTAAATAATTCCATACAATTCCACAGCAAGGACCGATGCAAGCAGATTCTTCAGTACAATATACAGAAATTCAAACGTTAGAGGAAAACAACATGGGGAGTTTTGCAAATTATGAACTAGTCTATGCAATTAGCTCATGAGGGCAATAGATCATGAATGCTTTTCACCTGCCATGGTGAAAACTGGGTTGTGCTGGGCATTGGGAATACTGGATAATTAGTAATACAGACAGGGTTAGATGATCCCATCTACATGACACAAAAGAACATTTTGAAGTAAGTTAAAGCTTGACAACTGGGTCATAAGCAAGCACTTAGGAAGGATATAATCATCACTACCAAGGGAATGATAGCTTTCCCATCACCTGGAATCTTTAGTATCGGACTGGATGTTTTTCTAGAAAATAAAATTTCTCTAAGGCAAGCTTGTGGTATTAGAACAAAATCTCTGGTGAAGTTTTAGAGTCTGATCCACAGCCTCTACACAGATCTAACTCTCTGATGGTAAATCCCTAAACAATATGCCCAGCCCATACATAAATACATAAAAGACCGTAGGAGAATGCCATGAAAGTCAGTAAAACTGATTGTTTTAGCTCTTAATTCTTGCTTCTACTTTCCATGTGTGTAACTCAACCCTCCTGATATTCAGTTCAAATTGTTTGAAATAGGTGTTAGCATTCATAAATAATTTTCACAGAAATATTTCGGGTGTGTTATTGCCTAGTACTTAAACTACTTCCTTTCACCTTTCTCATGACTCTTTGTCCTCCCTTTTCCCGCACTATCACTGCCCATCTTTCCGCCTTTTATTATTTTTTTCCATGTGGATCTTCATACATCATCCTTGCTTTCTCAAGTATTCAAAAAAAACATTCTCTGTTTCCTTATTTATCCCTGTTTTAACTTATAAAGCCCAGAGCCTTTTTAGACTACTCTATTATCCTCTTGTACTCTCATTCTTTCAGTCCCTTTCTACCTTTGGCATCTTTTCTAAAATTTTCAGACTTAAGTATAGTAGTTACATTAATATTACTCCTACATTTTCTTCTCTCTTTTCTTGAATCTCCATATTTTGCCATATAATGAATAAAAACATTTAGGAATGATGCAGTCAGAGGAAGTAAGTTTACAGTGAAACAGTTAACAACTCTGGCTACTGAAGTGTAGAAAAGAATTTCTCATATAATTATACATGATAGACAAAGTAAGAAAAATATATAAAAAGCAAGAAGCCACACCATTTCAATCCTTGTGATATTTTAGGGACCAATTGTCTCACTTCCAGGGAATTACTTGGACCAGTACGGAGATCTCTAGTAAAGGAATAACTTCATTCCTGTGGGGAAATTTTACCACCAAGTCTTGAGGAGATGGTGTTACAGGTGTGCAGTTTCCACCACACTTTTTAATAGTCTAAATTCCTTTAATAAGTATTTTTACCAGAGGAAAATTCACACACTGCTGTTTCAACACTTTTTAGACATGATGACCTAGGGAGCTAATTATCATCCTAAAGGGCCTCATTATTCTTTTCAGTCATGATAAAATACTGATAATACTAATAGCTGCTATATTTGAGACATTACAAGCAGGTCTTGTTTTTACAGAACACAAAATTTCAGATGAAATTTGTTTTGAACTTACAAACTCATTGCTTTTAAGTAGATATATAAGGAAAGATGCCTATTTGTTATTTCATTTCATCTTCTGCTTGATTGTATACAGGCAACATTCATCCCTCACCCAAGAAAGTCAACTAATATGATTTAGCTATACAACATCTTAGTTGATGAAATGATCTGGAAAAAGGGCTTTACAGCATTGGTCCTTCCTCTTATTCTTTCCCGAAGAAGATTACAATCAAGCCTCTAGTTTTCTAATGAAAAACCTATTTAATGCCTTTTCCTAAATGCTTTAATAATGTAAATATGAATTTTAAATATTCATGCTGACAGATTCTTCAGAAATTCCAATATTCTTACTACATGAAGAGAAAATCTCTTAAATGGAATACTTATTTCTAGGATTTGTGAGGATTCATACCATACAAATTTCAAATTGTAAAAGAAGGAGGATCATTTTACTAGAAAAAAACATTAGAGTAAATGAACAATAAAGATTTTTCAAAAACATTAAGCCCAGATAGAATGGCCTCTACTGGCACATGCTCCACAGACAGCTCAAGAAGCACCAAGGGCTTGGGAACAGCATGAAAAATTATTTTTAAAGACTCTCTAAATTAGGCTCATATATTTTAATTCACTTATGATCCAAAAATTTTGTTAGTTAACAGTCTTACAGAAAGTGAATATAAACTCCCAACCAATAAAGAACAAATTGCATGTTTCTGGTTCTTAATCATTTGACTAAACTTACTGATGGCTTAGGTTTTGCCTTCTTATCTTTTCCTTTGTCCACTTTTCTGTTGCTAGTAAAGTAATGCAAGGTGCCATATTCCATCAAGGCAGCAAACACAAAAATGAAACAAACAGAGACAAAGAGATCCATTGCTGTCACATAGGAGACTTTTGGAAGTGACTTCCTGGCAATTGTGCTCAATGTTGTCATGGTCAGCACCGTTGTAATACCTATTTAATAAAGAAAGTAAGAGAGACAGAAGGGAAAAAGGAGAGTATATTAGTAATTCAAACATATTGTCACACACAAAAAAAAATCCTCAAGTTAGTCAATAGCTCATTCATAAGGCATACAAGAACTGAGGCACAACAGAATTCACCTTAGATCACATCCAGACACCTGTGCTATTGCAAGAAGCCATCCCTATGGATCTAGAAGCCACTGTTGGACCATACAGAAGGTGGCTGGTTGTGTAACCCAGCATGGTGTATGTCCCTGGGCTGCTAGCAAGCTTCAGGAAGCTCAAGAAGTGAAGCTCTCCATCATGATATCTTTGTAAACTCCAACAAGGGTTAGGTAGCTACCTACTGTAGGGAGCCTGCTATGCTGCGGGGTTGGACTAGATGGCCTTCAGAGGTTCCTTCCTGCCTTATAATTCTGTGACTGCGACACATTTATTTTAACACTCTAGTTTAAATTCCTTTAATTTTCAGCACACGCTGAAGAAATCAAGACATTGATAAAGTTTTTGTAATTTTATAAAACTTCTATAATAATAACAATAAAAATTTTATAAAAATTTTAAAGAAAGCATACATACAACAAATACAATAGACCAACTGGCACAAATAAACATGTACATTTTATAAACAGATAAAAGACCTCCGGCTCTGAAAGTTTAAAACATATGAAAGCACACAAACAGAAAATGGTTTATTATGTATCGATAATTTTAAAAACTAATTTTAAAAGTATTAGAAAACGGAATAAAGTTCTCAACTCTTTGCTTATGACACGTAGCAGGTCAAAGCAGATGAATTTAATGGCCTTTCTTGTATCATTCTCTAAATTACTAAATATATTTTCAATATTGTGCCTTAAGTAATAGAAAATATTTTCCTGAATTCACAGAAGGGAGAAAACCTCCCAATTATCACAACTTCTAGCTTAACTTAGTGTTGGCTTTCTTCTCTTAACCTCTCAGTCTTTCCCCCAGCCTGTAAAATCACATCTTTTTTGACTGGTAAATTCTTTTTTTCTGCACTAGAAAATCTGTGTGTGAGAATAGTCACCCTATGATCTGCCAAACATCAACTTTCGAGCATTTACACATAAAGAAATCAGAAAACTATCACTACTAATCTGAGAGTTGTTAGTGTGCATCCTATGCCCTTCGCACATCTCTATCTGACACTTCTCCAAGGCAACACATGATTCCCAAGTGGTCAAACATAGGAGGCCAGAGCCACATTAATCAGGTCAGCCAAGTTTGACACTAACACTGAATTATAATCACAGAAGAACTTGCAACATAGGCTTTTACAAGTTACGTGCCTAACTCCTTGAAGTTCAACTTCAGTTGCAAATATTCTTTCCTGTCCCTAAAAGAGCAAATTAATTTACTTCATTATTAAAAAAAAAAAAAAAAGGTACAAACAAAAATCACACTTAAATTTTAAAACAATGGGAACAGAACAAAAACAATACACATCTTCACAGTTTTCCCCTGTGTAGTAGTAACATCCTATGTTCCATAACGCTAAGTGAAATTAAGTCATACTTGACAGACTAAACATTGCCATATTACCACCCCTGGAGATGACAGAAGTATCACATAGAAGAAAAAAATATATATTTACGTAATAGTGAATCCACACGGTTTGGATCACAGAATCCTTAAAGTTGGAAGGGATCTTTAAAAGTCATCTAGTCCAACACCCCTGCAAGGAACAGGGACATCCACAGCTAGATCCGGTTGCCCAGATCCCTGTCCAGCCTGGCCTTGAAATTCTCCATGGATGAGGCATCCACTATATCTCTGGGCAACCTATTCCAATGTCTCACCACTCCCACTGTAAATCTTACCTAAACCTACCCTCTTTAAGCATGAAAATTTTCCCTTTGTCTTATATCACCCCAGAAGCCTAAGATTTCCAGGTTTCTGTTATAAACACTCCCTCCCTTAAATTCTCTTGTGACACCACAGCATGATTCTCCTACTCTTAACCTTGTAACTCAATAGAAAGGACGACTAATGGTCACAATCGTTTAATTCAATTAATCCAGTGCTCACTGCAGATTTGTATTGCTGTTCCGGAACCCTCCAGGGTGACAACAAGCATCCTTACCCAGAGATGTCCTTGCAGGAACTGCATCCTTGTTGATCCAAAATGACACCCATGAAAGAACAACTGTGAGTATACAAGGAATGTACGTCTGGATAGTAAAATATCCCATACGTCTGCTGAGATCAAAGAAGATTGTCATAATAATATAATCACCTATGAATTAAGAAAATAATAATAATCTTGGATTATATCTGTTGTTTTTGTTTCACATAGATAATACATGCCAAAAAGCTTAACACTTTTCCTTACCAGACAGGGTATGAGAAATCTCAGTTGTATTTCGCAGCCCTACAAATGCAAATTGGTACAATCTCCAGTATTTCGGATCTGCCACTTCAACAGAGGTTTTCTTCCATTTGTATTCAATTTCATTTCTGGGATATCCATCTAGAATAAAACAACAAATCAAGACTCCAGCCACAGCAAATTTCAAAGCATATATTGTGATCTCTGAAGTTGTTTGGAAATGAAAAAAAGGCTGTATATAAAGGGAATCGCAGAGCAAGAAAATCTATAATCCACTGTATCCACCTAAAATTTAATAACAAAATAACTAGCCTCAATTTTAAGCCTAACTGTTAAGATCAGCCTAAAGTTTTGTAAACACAATTGCTTAGGAAATATCTGCACAATATTCTGGAATTAAGAATGAAAAAATGACTCAGAGTCACCACTATGCATTAATGCATGAATGCAATATACTTTAGCTTTAAAAGGACACAAAGAGCTTAAAAGTACATGTACTTCCAAGTACACAATATGGTGAAATTCCTATTCCTTGGTATGGATTTTTGTGACCTGTTCAGTAATCCCCCTGGAATTACAGCCTTCTTGATTTTCCTGTGTCTCATATATTGACCCGCATTACCTAGCACAAAAGCAGGAATGAAATCAAGTAAGGCTCACTTGTATTTAATTGAAAGACCTACGAAAGTTCATTTAGCATTCAGGAAGGAAGCACTAAATAAAACATTCATTTAAGAAGATTCACTGAAGTTTGATTTCATTGCCTTTTAGGTTTCACATTTAAGAATAAATTATTTAGCTATGTTCAGTTGGTTTGGGATTCTTTTGCTAGCAAAAACATAATACTCTTAGAACAGTATTTTATTTTTAATATATTAAAAAAATAAGCCTGAAAGTTACGTTTCTTGCTTGCAAAAATACATCCCACTGAAAGGAGAAGGCATGTTTATACTGATTAAGTGTTTACAAGAACAAGTTGAAGAAGGCAGATCTTAATTTTCCTCTTAGTATGACACATGGAACCAATTCAAAGTTGGCAAGTCTGACAGGCATAAAAAATAAAGTTCTTCCAAGGCAATAGATTCCTTTTAACTGGAATGAGGGTTGCATCACGCCCCTTAGCAATACAATTGTTTTTAAAGTTGCAACTAAACGAAATGCATGTAATTCAACTCATTCATTATTGCATTTAATTATGCAATAAATAATGCAATAAATCAAAGCAAAAAACAAATAGATTTTTTCAAGGCTTCAAAAAGTAATTACTTGCTTTCTTGCTGCTGGATTTTAAGGAAATTTAAAGCCTGGTTGTAAAGAGAAAAGAAAACAAAGTGTTGTACCACTTACAGCTTGAAAATTCCAGTGGACAGGAGTGTTCATCCATAGGAAAGTTGTGAAGCTGAAGATAACACTCAGCATTAATTGTCAGTCTAATTAGAAAATAAGAACAAAAGAAATATTAGATTCATGCAGCTAGACACTTCAGACTAGATAATAAACATATGCATAGAAATCAATTTTGCCAATTAATGGATGTTAAGCATATCCAATTGTGTATCTGCAAAAGGCATCCACCATCATCTCCAAAGAACAAAATTATCAAATGCAACCTGATGACTTGTGTCATTTCAATTGCCATATCTGGTCATTTAAAAAATGCCAATTGATGTGGTAATCTCTTAATTTTCTACCACAAAGAGTAAAAGGAGGGGAGACAACACAGCAATAAAATATAGTTTTTTAAATAATGTTTTGGAAAGTCTTATGGCATTTGACATCTTTATATCTGATGGTTATATACACACATATAAATATATATGCATCCACATATATACATAAGTGGAAACACAAGGCCTGCTCTATATTTGTGTAAGAAGAACAATGAAGAACAATCTTCACATTTCTGCTTATTCAATGTCCAATGTCACACAGATTTTTCAAGTAGGTAACATATATTTTAGACACAGTCTAGCACTACTGTAGCATTTAAACAACAGAAAAAAATCAGTGGCAGCTTTTGAAAATACTGTCACAGACTTCCAGTTTCTAAACAAGGTGGATTTTAAGGAAAACTGTAGTTCTTGCCATACACTGGGAAAGAAAAAATCCCCATTTCCAAGTAAGACCCTTGCATCCCTTTGGGGGTGCCCTTCAAATTTTCCAACTGTGATATATACATATATTGTCTTAGTTTTCCATTTTCAATCTTTGGATGGTCAAACCCTTAAAGAAAAAGAAAACAAAGCCTAGCTTTTATTGTAAGTGGTACAACCAGATTTGGAATACCTTCAATGAGTGCAATAGAAAAATCAAGGTCTACCCTCACAATAGACTCAGTAGGCCTACTGAGCTTACTGAACCTACTGAGCAGCTGAACATTAAAGAATCACGATGTCTTCTCCCTCAAGTAACAATGGGGAAAGAATGGTAGTACAGAGGAACCAAAGAACTTGGAGTGCTGTCAAATCCAGTTATTGTTTCTTCCGTCACCAACATACGAACTCAACATTATTCCAATATGAACTCTCAATGTTATTCCACCTTAGGCTGAATTCAGATCATATCTTCATCTATACAGATGTTTGCATGTTGCAGTGTCAAGTGAATATCCAGTTTTGCTGTTTCATTTCCAGCTTACTGCAATTCAAAGCTCAAACTTCAGCACAATAATTCTAAGTTATTCCGTTGAGAAAGCATCACACTGCTCATACAATGCTACTAGTCTGTAGGTAAAAGCAGTGTAAGTAACTAAGTGTAAGTAATTAAAAAGTTGCTACTGTTTGATTTTTGAAAAGGTCAGATATATGTCATCTTTTGCAAATGTTTCTTGTCTATCAGCTTTTAATTTAAGATTTTTTAGATGTGCTTAATGAGAAAAATTGAAAGATTATCCTAAAATGCTTTCTATAGACTATAGCTATTTAAGAACTGTTTAAGTGACTCAGAGATCAGTGCAGATAGCCTAGACGGTATATTTAAAATTAAGCCAAGCATCCATCATTTGCCAAGCAGAATTACTACCAACATGTTTGCTCATGCCTAATTTGGAGGAACAGATTTGTAGATTTTAATCATTTGTAAGAGTAAACATGGGAAGTAGTATATGCAGAACTTGGACCTTAGCTTTAATCAGGCTCTTTTAATATTTGTATTGCTTGAAGCATTCATTTTTACTTAAAAAATATAATTTTGTGAAAATTAGATAATTAACTGCTTAAAATAGAAAGTCTGTGAAACAATTTATGACTCTGGTTTATGATATCTTAGTTACAGAATACAACTCTGTTGGTATTTTTTTCCTTAAACCTTGTTTACACCTAAAAAGCAACTAAAATTTGCTACCCTTTTCAACTGTGTTTATAACCAGTATTCTGGGCAATATATTTCAATAATATTTATTTAATATTTTTGGTTATCATACCATTTTTTTCCATCTTAGCAAACTCTCTACAAACTCCTGTGGTCAACAACAAAGGAAATTTCAGGTACTTGATTCATATTTATTTTTGTGTTCTTATACATATTAGTTCTATCTTTTCTACTTAGTTAATAAGGACCCACCTTAGAGTGTATAATACTCTTCCATCACTCCAGATTCTAAGTAAGCGATTTGGAGTTGTAATCCAGTGGGCATCAGATTTCCTTGAGTTCCGGAAGAAAGTGTCTGGAATCCAAATTTTTCCAACCATATTGCTATTAAGCATAAGGACTTTCATTGAGCTGTTAAATTTCAGACGACTGTCATACCAAGTCTGGGCAAATATGATATCTATGGTGTATTCCTAAAAACAGAGAAACGATATCTATGTACATATTTATCAAAGCCTGCAAAGCCAAGAATTTTCAACTGAGGTATAAATCAAAGGCTATCTCTTCTATTCTCTTTATTATTATTTATATTGCATTCAGCAGCCTGTAGCAGACTAAGGAAACGCACATGTAGCTTTCTGCCTCTATCTCCACTCTCCTGAGACATTCCGTTTAGTCAAAGAAGAGGAGACCTGATAGGATCTTGTAACTTGGCAGCCCTCACACAATACAATCAGACTGAGGGAAATAGACACAGATTTAAGGACAACCTTTCCTCTTCTGAGCTAGGCCAAGTTTCTAGAGACATAGATTTACATCTCTTCAAAAGCAAATAAAATTCATTTCTTATATTTTCCCCCTTGAATTTCACAACATACATCTGTAGATCCTTCAAGAAAGATATAATCATTTTCAACATTTCCCATCTGTATTTTGACAAAAATGAAACACACCCACTGACTAAATTTCAGACTTTGAAAAATTCATGCATATGCAAGAAGTAAATATCACTGCTTGCAGAAATAACTTGACCATCAACCTCATATATTCACCTGCATGCACACAAAAGTATACACAGTCAGAAAGAAAGTCTCCCTAATTCAATTTCACTTCACTTATTAGAGGAAAATTATTTTCTGATACAAAGTCAAATTTCTCAGTATATTTTATGGTCAAAATAGTGGCAAATCAAAGATTTTAATGAGACAGTTAAAGACAAGGCAGTTAAACACTGAAAAACAATATTTCATTGCATCTGCAAAGAATCTAACATTTGTTGCTCAGTATAGGAGCAAAATAAAGGAGTAAAGCAGCAGACTAAACTCCGTAGCATTTGTCTCAGCTCCAGATCATGACTGATGTTAAGAGCAACAGCTGCTCTGCATGGTGACAGATCTCTCCTACTTGGCTGTTGCATGAAACCTCCTATGAGCAACTCAGTATCTCCTCTGAGAGCTCAATCCACAGGGAAAAAAAAAATCACTGAAGGCCAGACTTACACACCTCCTGTTGATTGCTCCCTGTCACCTGTGAGGGGAGAAGAGACAAGGAGGAAGTGCTGGTGTGAGCCAAAGGATGCATTACTAGTTGATGTGGACAATAAAAATGCACACTGCAGATAGCCAATTCTGACTTTCAGTGCAATTAATGTAGATGCAATGAAATTAGAATGCAATGAAAGTAAAACGGTTTGCTGATTGTATTAGTGTTTATTGCTCATTTTATTTTTAAATAGCCATAGTATCCTGCTATATGAGTTATAGATTCCTTTCTCATTTCTGCAAATATTAGCAGCTGTCTCCCAGGTGAAATTTGTGAAATTTCCATCCTTCAGAAGTGCAAAGGCAGATAGACCAGGACTGCTTAAATCTCTCTCCATTTTCTCACTTATCTGGGTGTGGAAAGAAAAGATATGGAATATAATAGATAAGCAAGGGTAAGGTTTGCCTTTGCTCTCTCTTCCACACAAACTATCGTAACTCAGTGACTTGCAAAGAAAAAATAATGGGTGTATAAGGCAAACAGCAATAGGACAAGGGAACAAAAGGACTAATCAAAAATGCATCCTGGAGATGACTTCACTCTAAAACTTTGCTTATTCCTTGACAGACTTTGTCATCAAGAGAAGTTTCTGCAGGTCAAAACAAGTCCTTGATTATTTTATTTGCATAAAAATATCTTCAAGACACCTGTGAAAATCCACAGCCTGTTCATCCTCAACATCCTGCTTTCTGTGTTCATCTGCAGGTTACTACTGGAAAGGAAATTTGCCTTAGTCTTTTGTAAATGAATACATAATACAGTGTGCTAAAGAAGTGCTTTCATAGACTTAAATGAAGCAACATGAACAAAGATTTACTTGTTGCCTTAACAATAAAAAATAGGAAAAAAAAGTCAGTGAGTGAAATCAACAGAAACAACCAAATGTATGATAACAGCAGGCTGTCTGAAGGTACCACTCTAAGCAGCCAATTCACAGTGGCACCACATTGTCTGAGAAAAAGAAATATATCAAAGTGTCATTACAGTCAAATACACCCAGGGCAAGAAAACTCAGGCTGCCACAGAATACCAACAACCCTATTAAATTAAGATAAAAATGGAAGAAGAGCTTGATAATTTTGAATGAGCAAAGCAAAGGAACAGCCCCAGGTGCTTGGATTCTCTTTCCTTTCAGTATTAAATGCGCAAGTTTTTATCAGAACCATGTATTAAAAGAGTTGTTTAAACAACATTTTATAGGAAAAAAAAAAGCACAAAGAAAGCAGGAAATGTTAAAATCCTTCATGAACCATTTTTCTATGCTCAAAAAAAAAAAATAATAATCTGATACATAATAATTCAATATCATAATATTAATAACTAGTCATTTTCAATGCTGAATGCATAAGAATAGGTCCAATTTCTAGCCTCTTATCAGCAGAGAGTGGTCTTCCATTTCTAAGTTGAAAAAGCACGTAGACCCTCTTCCCTCAGAGTTCACCCACTCAAAGGCATAAACCTACTCATTCATCTCACCTGGAAGACTCACAACTTGTGGCTCTCTGATTTCACTCAAGAGCAATTATTCTACTTATAGTATCTACATTGCTGGACATAACTACTTTTTCAGCATACCTGCTTGTCCCATGCTTTGCTGAGACCTTGCTGTCTTTGAGGATCCCTAGTACATCCTTTAGGCAGCATATCTCCTTTGCCTAACTATCTCACACTCTTAGCTCATTTTATCTATACTATCATTCACTCAAGTGAACTTGAGCATAAACATCAAGCATATGCATGTTGTTATCCCATGTAGACATTCAAGACATGAAGATGGGACTCATACTCTTTTCTCAACAAAAGCTCCTTCACAAAGAGGACAGGTGTTATGGGTCCAAACAGACCTTGTACAGCCTTCAAGCACAAGTACACATTACAGGATGATTCGGAAAATGAGGCTTAAGTAAGTCTGTCAGCATGCAGCCGTGGCAGCGTAGATACCTGAGAGCAAAAATCTGAAAAGGGAATAAAGCTGTATACTTTCTGAAGATCAAATTTTGAAATGGACCCAAAGCTTCCAGGTTTCATGGATTTATACAATAAATTTCCTTAAATCTGCAGCTCCTAAAACACAATTCATATTTTCTAATGAGAAGGGAATATGGGCCCTGAAAATTTGTTGAAAATGTGGTAGAAAAATGACTACACTAAGGAAGTATTTTATCTCCAAAACTAGATGAACAAAAGCATTATCTTTGTTTATATGCCATATTAACAACAGCACATCAGAAAATACAATTTTCTTCTTTCTTTCTGAGCAACTGTTTTGCTTCTCTCATTTTCTTAGAAAAATTAAAATTTAACACTTACCACTACTTTTATTAGTCTTATAAAGCTCACCATTCAATGACATTCTCTAACCATAAAAATTGGTTTACTAATCTCTCTTTTAAATGAAACTAATGATAAAACATCCAAGCAGAATAAAATGAAATCAATCTATGGGCGCATTAGTCACAGCCAGAGCAAAATGTATGCTTATTCATATTCAGCCTCACGAGGTTCAATAAACATTGCACATGTTAGCTCATATTTGGCATCTGATTTGATCACTGAAGTCTTTTGCACAGCTGGCATAAAGAGCCCACCTGCCTAATTATTTCCAGATAACTGCAATCCTCCTTCATCTCTGTCCTCTCTAAAAGTTAATAACAAACTCCAAGGCTGGGAATACAGTGACTAATCAGAGAATGCCATTAAGGGAACAGGCAGTGAACAGTCAGTGAATATTGACAAGCAGGTGTATAGTCTGAGAGAAAGAGTTAGAAAGGAAAAGCAATTACATCAAATAGAGCAGGAACAGTTACTGTATGGAATACACCAAATTTCAACTTAATTTCTTGAAAGGATGAGTACAGTAACAGTAACAGTCAAATATTAGATAGGCCACTAGATTTTTGTTTTATTGGAAAGCTGTGAAAGAAAGGGAGGCAGCCATCATTCTATAAGGTTACATCTCAGTGCACCTACAACACTCCAGCTCCAACATAAAATCAAAAGGACGGAAAAATTGCACAAAATAGAAAACCATTTATCTTGGATATTTTGTCTAGCATTCCCACAGCTGATTTGATATTTCACAGCAAAACCGTGAAGTAGGTAGGCTAGTTGTTGCCTGGTTCTTGTTAACTGCAATACATTTGTACAACAGGAAAAAGTGGCCCAGTTTTCTCAGGCTAAACACAAATGCAATGAGTTTCTCCAACACCAAAATCAGAGTTGAAATACTATCCCCCAGCTACAGTTCTATGATATAGATCATTACCAATGAATTGAAGAGGTGAAAAAAAAAAAAAAAAAAGAAAAACATCCTTTTCTTCCTCCTCCTTTGGCCAGAAACCTGCAGTTGCTTCTCCATAAGAGCCAATCCACACCTTAAGTTTCCTGGAATGCAACAGACTAATTCAGAAATTTGTTTCACAGAGAGGCCCTGAATTCATTTCAATTACAAATGCCTTAAGTGCAGTGACTTCATCTTGTTCAGTTACACAAGATCTATAATATTTTCCACATCCTTCCTCATTCTATTCAGTCTTCTAATTTCTAAAAGAGAAATTTAATGAGAGTGAAACAGGGAATTCTGCAGGGGAAAAGAAAAAAAATAAAAAAATAAAAAAAAATGGAAGCTAGAGAAAATATTTTACAAACCATGTTTTTATATTAAGATATGCAATTTAATATCAAAGACTCAGATAACTATGATGGTTAAAAGGTTTAGACAGCGAAGACATTCATAAACAATCACTGGTATCCATATGCCCACCCAAAAGAACAGATTCAAGTAAACTACCAAGCCAATTTATCTTCATCTTGCCAGAAAGCTGCCAACAGGCTCTCATAACCTTTACCTTCTCCCATATCTGACTATCTCTGGACACCAATGTAGTGTCTTTAAGTACTTTACTAAAATACTTAGCTAAACTAAAATATT